TAGCAACACTATCTACGCCGCAAAATGACTATGATCATCAACTATTGTTAAAAAATAGTTATGCCTATAAAATGATCTAACTAAGAAAGGTCCCAAACAACTAAATGAAGTAAATAAAAAATATTAGGAGCTCTATTACTGCTTGTAGAATAGGGTAAACATTTTTGTTTTGCAAAATGACATATTACAAGCTCTTTTAGCATCGATTGAAATGTAATCATATTTTTGTTATAACAATGACAAGTATTTATAAAAAAAAGTGACCTAATCTATAATGCTAAAGGGATGAGATGGGGAAAGAACAAAATTAAAATCACAAAAGCATGAATTTGAAAATGAATTATTAATACTAGCAACTTGATCATCTTGTATCTTTAAGTAGTACAATTAAGTGACATTATCTTGTATCTTGTAGCATACCTTAACAATGTGCCTAGTCTTTTTGTAGTATGTGCAAACTTTGCTTGATCCTCATCCTCCTTGAAAGTAACCTTGTCTTCTACCAAAGTTTTTTTTCTTTCAATTGCATTAATTAAGATTTTTTATTTCTCATTCACGTTAAAACCATTTTGTCGTTCTTGTTGTAGTATCATAAAAAAGATTATTCAAATTTGGTAAAGGATTAAATAACAGAATTTGAGATCTAACACTAAAGATTTCTTTATTAAGACTAGTAAGGAATCATATTATGTAATCTTCTTGTTTAAACGAGTGAGCATTTCTCATTGCATTACATGTGCATGTAATTAAACATGTACAACTTGGAGTAGGTTTATAATTTTCAAGTTCTTCCTCTAGGACCTTCAATTCTGTAAATAATTTGTTACATTTCAACTTCCCTGGCTTATTGAGTAAATTCCTTGTTACAATTCTGCTACTCTAATCAAGTCCCCTTGCAAGAATCTCTCTTTCAAAACATTCTAAACATCGGTCACATTTTCAATGTACAATACGCTCTGAGCTATTGAAGGAGAAACATAGTTCATTAACCAAGAATGCACAAGATTATTGCAATGTTCCCATGTCTCAAAAATTAGATCGCGTCTAGTCGGTGTTGCAATAGAACCATTCAAAAATAGAAACTTGCTCTTGAAAATCAATGCTCTCTTCATTGCCCTTGCTCAAAAATGATAATTTACTCCTCCAAGAGATGGATTCATCATTACCACAAATGAGTTTTCATTCGAATATACGTAATAAGGACTTCCTTGATCTTGCGTAGGATCGGGGATGTTGCCACCAAAATTAACATTTCTAATCGTAGCGTCGCACAACAGAGTTCTAAAGTCTCACAGCTTTGATACTGTAACAATGTTTTTGAAAAAAATATAAAAAAGAAATAATTGAGAAAAAAATCAATGATCACATATATTAGTCTATCTTATATATACATATACACGTCCTTTTATATCAAGTGAATGTTGATTATATGATTACTTCGTAATAACAGAATTAGTTTTAAAATGTTACAATAAAACACACGAAGTAGTGTAAATGTCAACTACGAGTTTAAGTCAGTGTATGAATTGATTATGAGCTTTAATAATAACAGTTAAAAAGTAAATTTTAATATTCATATCATGCAATGATTATATATATATATATACTTATTTTATAGAAAATGGTTAAATTTTATAATAATATTAAAATACTAAATAATGATATTGATTATGATCCTTGCGGATTTGGACGCGGCAGAAATTCCATTTTTAAGAGTCAAATGGCGTCCACATCAACGGGCGTGTGTTGATTGGTTGGACTCCATTTACCAACCATGTCAATCATTGATTAAAAGGTGTGAGGAATATACCATGCTATCATGATTCAAATTAACAATCAACACAATATTGTTATTATTTAGTCCAAAACAATTTTTAAACTACTTAATTCTACATAATATTTTGTGATGTTTAATAAATTAATTATTGCTTTAATCACGGAGGGATGATTATGATCATGATGACAATAACGTGGCTATTTTGATTTAGGTCTGAATTATGAACACAGAATCTCCACAAAATAATTGCTGTGACTGAAAGGTACGAGTCCCACTCTCACCAAACCACAGTTTCTGTTTGTCACTTTGTTATTTCATTCATTCTTTATTATTGCATTCCCTTCTTTCTAGTCTACTTAGATTATAAATAATCTTAAATGCTATAGTTTAATACTAATTTTGTTATTCATGTTTCATCTTATCTTAGTTGGTGATGCATAAAATTTTCCGGTCCAACAAGTGATATGTTTAATTTGTGAGAATGGGAATACATGAAATGGGAACTTCGGATGAAAAAAAAAAACAGGCATTAGCTAGAGATATGAAAATAGGTTAAATTTCATGAGGTAATGTGAAAAGTAATAACATAAAATACAAATTCAACTAATAAGTTGAAATAAAATAACTATGTTTAATTCTGCAGGGTTTACTATAGCCATTAAGTTTGTTATTAAAAAATTAGTGTTGTTTTAAAATAAATATTTATATATTTTAATCAATAATTTTTTAAATTTGTCCATGAAAATTAATTTAAGATTTTAAAATAATTTAATTAAATAATTCACATTTAGCTTTTTTATGCATAATCGGTGCCCTTAGTTAAGAAAACTAAAATGAAAATATTTACTGAAAAATACTTATTATATAAAAATTCAAAAGTTATTTAATATGTATTTTTAATTAATTAAAAGTATTTAATATAACCATGTTATTTCTTAATGAAATATTTAAAACCCTCGTTCACAGATCCATATTTTGATAGTACAATTGAATAAATAAGGAAACTACATACTAATTTAATTAGCTTGTAGCTAATATGAAATCAAGCTAAGTGTCAACAGTTTAATGATTTAAACTATATTTGATTCGGTGTAAATTAGATTATGTTGTATTCAACCCATGGCAAACTGGGGCAAATGGGGACCCATGCGATCCAAAATACAAGGGGTATTACATGCCATCGTTGACCTGGTTTAAAGTGAAAGGAAGAATTGAGGGGAGATTTTTATATTCTAACGTAATGCATATTATAATGTTATGTTGTGTTTGATAATGATGCAATGTAGTTAAGTAGCATTGGTGCATCTAATTAACGAAGAAGGGCGGCGTTGTAGCAACTACAAACCTAATCCTTGTTTAGGTGACATTAGGTTTTGTTATATCTCCTAAGATTGGAAAGAATAAAGAATTTCAATTATTTCACTTTTTTAACTAATGCTTCAAATATTAAAGTATTTCCACGGGTTGCTTTTGAATGTACATAAACTGAGATTCGAATTTGAAATTATAAATTTGAATATATTTAATTATTATTAAATAAATAGTTTTTATAAATTAACTTGGATTAAGAAATATATTTTTCACTCAAAATTTTAAAATTTGCATTTCTATTTCTGGATAAAAGTAAAACAGAGGTGTACAAATTGTTAATTTGTTTAAAGTTTAATTTTTTTTTTTTATCAAATTAAGCCGTGTATTTAGATGTAGTGGGTGAGAGAATTTACTTAAAGTAATATTAAGTGGTTTATTTTTTAAATTTTTTTTACTTTTTAATCATTTAAAGTTAAGAATATAAATTGATGTTAATAAATTTTTTTTTACCAAACGCACTTAATATTTAGAAACTAAATTTAATTAGAATTATTTTATAATTACTAGAAAAAAACTCTAAAAATTTCTTATTTTTTATAAATCAGTGATCGTGAAATATTTTCAAACTTGTCCCAATTATCATGACAATTCCCTCATCCTATAAATCAGTGAATTTTTGTTTTTATTTTTTATAATGCTAGATCGTGAAATATTTTCAAGTTTAAAGGAATTTAAAAATAGTAATTTAAAATTCGTAGCTGTTGTTAGTACAAAAGAAATTATATCAGTAGGATTTATGCATAAAACTTCATATTAAATAAGTCGATTCCATATGTATAAATAAAACAAAATTTTATAATAATATTTATAATTTTTATCATATTACTCATCTCATTAACCTTTTCTCTCTCTAATTTGTTAAAAAATTTAAACAAATTGTTATACAAACAATACTTCTCTTAACATAATGTTGATTATGATGCAACTAAAGTGGAGAATCCCAATTCCTTGCCGCAAGAGTGCATGCATGGGCCATTTGGCCTGAACCTGGTTACTTGTCGTGCCGGCTTCAACGGCTTTTGACTTATTTAATTCCGGCCAAGAGAACACTGACACGAGTGCTAATAAATTAGAAAATAAAAAATTGAACACCTCTATATTACATTTCTTCATAATTCATACTAAATTTGCATATCACATATATGACAAAACATCAAAATAAAAACTATGCATGAAAATTTTAAAACCTAATTAAGTTTTTAGTATTTATATTTTTGTGACATGTAAACTAACAACACTTAAATTATACATAAATTGTCACATAAGTGGTAGTTCATTTGACATTGAGAAATATCATTAAATATGAGTATATAGTGTGAAAGTACTGCTTTTTTTCAAATATAATATATTTTTTAATATTTTTTAAAATGTATCATATACTCGCAAAGTATAATTACAAAGAAAAAGTATATAAACGTTTTATTATTTAAAAATAAATAAAAAATATGATATGAATTATCTTTCCGAGGGGAGAGAGAGAAAAACAAAAACGCTGTGCAACACCGTTATTACTCAAACTCCCAGACTATAAAGAAGAGAGGCACAGGCTGTAAAGGAACCCCAACTCTTCTTCTTCTTCTTCTTCTTCTGCTTATTCTCTTCCTTCTATTTTCATTTCACACATCTTTTCTGAATAAATAAGGGAACTTGCAATGCGTGGAGCGGAGAGGCCCATTATTAATTAAACCCAGCATTCCGTTTTCCCACTATTCAAAGTCGCTTTCTTTGTTTGTCACTCCCATTTTAAATGTCCATAAACTTCACGAGATCTCTGTGCCACGCGCCCTAGCAATACCAATACCTTCAATGTCCTCCTCTTTCTCTTTGTGACTCCCTCCCTCCCCCGCTCGAGATGAGTCAAACTATCCTTGGTTTGTTGAGGGAACAAATGGACGCTGTAGATGGAGGCCCTCGCAGGAGGCGCAGTTTCAAGGAACGCTTCGGATTCATCGCCATAGGTTGTTGTGGGGCCACCTGGGGATTCCGTTCAACGCCCTTAACCGTCAGCGACAGCGAACAACAGCCCAATCAACAACAACAACAACAACACCTTATGGAAACGGATCGGGGTCAAGGGTCGGGGGCGCACTGCGTGGGCCCGGCTCCGGCGGGTGCCAGTATGAATCTGGCGACGGCGTTGGCGGCGGAGCGACAAGTTCGGGGACCGGAGGAGGAAGCGGGTAGGGTGCCGGGCACGCCATGGAGGGTGTCGCTGATGAGGCTGTTGGAGGAGACGGAGGGTGGGGATGCGGAGGAGAAAGGAGGAGGAGCTGTGGGGAATGATTCGGTGTGCTGCGTGTGCATGGGGAGGAAGAAAGGTGCAGCGTTCATCCCATGTGGGCACACTTTTTGCAGGGTGTGTTCCAGAGAATTGTGGCTTAATCGAGGGTCTTGTCCCCTTTGCAATCGTTCCATCCTCGAGATTCTCGACATTTTCTAGATTCAAATTCTTCTTTCACAATTCAGATCTTGCCTTTCCCTTTTTCCCACTTCCTCTTGTTCTTTATCTGAAAACAACTTCATCCTTCCTCTTCACTGTAATATATCATAGAATTAATTGAATTTTCATGTATTTGATACCTCTCCAAATGTTTGATCCTTTTCTATATATATTGTATATACTATATGTGAGTGAGTATATGACTATTCACTAGATAAAGAAGCCCGCTCCATTTTTTAGTTTTGCTTTATTAATGTTTTTTCTTATTATTTCATTTTACTTTTACGTTGAACAATTTTTCAGATTTCAACCAATTTTATTTTTAAATAATATGAGAGTTTAATTTTGCTATATTGTCAATCTAAGAATTTTCGTACTGTCAATTATAATTAACATATATGATGATATAATTTTTTACTGATAGTATATGTCAATCTCCGATCTATGCGTTCCAATCTGAATGTAAGTTCAACCATTCGCTAGATTACTTACATAGAGTTAGAAGAAAAAAATTTTAAAAAAGGAAAAAACTGAAAAAAAAATAAAATCGTTCCCTGAATTTTAACAACATTTTTAATGTTTGTCGTAAAAAAAAAGTTTAATGCTTTTAATCAACATTAGGTAGTCTGATTATATTAATAAATCACTATTAATTTTTTTTCTATGAATTAAAATAATTTAAAAAAATTTCTAAGGCAAAAAGTTTCAAATTCATGTATATATTTTTATTTTTTTTAATAACAATAACTTTTAGTTTACAACGTGTTCTTTTGTATTTTCGTATATTTTGCTAGTATTCACATGTATCCGTACTTATACTTGATTTAATAAATTCTGTAAATAAATTGTTTTGATGTTATTTTTAAATGTATAAAATAGCGGTATACTTGCGTTAGAAATAACCTTTTGAAATATTTCATGTGATGAACAATGGAGCCTTATTTTTCGCATGTTAAGCTTTATCATAAATTGATGTAATATGATTTTTTAACAAAGGTCCTAGAATGGTTTATGTACTTGATACATGAATAACATGCTTTTCTTGAAGGTCTGATTTAGTCATTTTGAAAGCATAATATATTCTCAAAATTTATTCACAAATCTATTTTGTGTTAAGATATTTTAAATATATTAATAATTTTAAATTTACATAGATTATTAAGCCTAAATTTTTATACAAATTGGTGTATTTAAGCCTTTAAACAAGTGAATATACATTCAATTCAAGATATTTTCTTTTTGACAACTAAGTTATTAATAATAACAACAATTATTATTATTATTATTATAAAAAAATAGTTTTATTTTTCAGATAAATTGAAGCCCAACTTTTTGTTATTTTTTAAAAATAATGACTTGTTTAATAAATAATTTTTAATGTGTTTAAGACTAAATAAAAATTTAATATATGATAATTTTTTATTGAAAATGATATGGTATCACTAAAATTAATATATATCATTGGTATTAAATGTTCTATTTTTATAAAATAATATTATTTATTAAATTTTTATTATATTTCCACGCACGTTAAAAATATTGTTTAATAAATTACTTAATGTAACCTTGGTTATTCCTATGACCAGATTCTCATGGTTGTTTCGGCCTTTGGGCGAGTGAATTGACTTCCCAACTTATCTTGGACGTGAGGAAAGAAGAAAAAACACGTTCAAACATTTAAAAATTGGAAACTTCACGTTTCCTACCCTTGAAATGCAGCATCATTTGTAATATTTTTTTATAGATAAAATATATTATTAAAAATAATTTAAAGAGAATTCAAAACTCATATATATAAAAAAATAATATTTAATAAAAAAAATACTTATACTGAGACATATAATTTCGTAAATATATATATACTGTAAACGAAGTATTAATCTAAAATTTTTTGACACATCTTTTACTGTAGCATATCTATACCGTACAAAATAACTGGATTAAAATTAAGTTAAACAATTTAAAATCCTATCATTCGAAGTTCAACTCAAATTATAAGCAATTTCATAAGTAAATCTAAGCTTCTGTTTTTTATGATTTAATCTTCATAAGCCAACTTTGACATGCAAATTAAATTGCATTCCCTTTTTTTACTATTGAATAACATCGTCTTAATCTTTTTTTATTTTTTATTTTCGAAAACAGCCTTCGTTAATTAACATTTTTGAAATATTATTAAATTCATTTTCAAAAAACCACCGGTTCTTCTTAGTCCCCCGTTGTTTAAAAAATATAAACTTTCACGTTTTACTTCAAATTATCTCATATGGCTTTGGTTTTTTTGTTTTTTCGATTTCAAGCTGACTTTTTTTTCCATAATTATCTTAAATTTTTATTTATTTATTCTATGTAACGTGTGACTTTATCTTTTCCTGACTCCATTAATTTATCAGCGTACTATTTTTTCAGGAATTATCGATTAAATTGAATAACATTTACAAGAGTAATTAAATTATACTAAAGCGATATTGTAATTATACAAAACAAAACATAATCAATACAAGCATGCTCATTTATTAAAATTTAAATAAATTATCAAGTTAAATAATAAAAAAAAAAAAGAATCATGTCTCCAAAGTTTGGTTATATTTTCCCTGAAATATGGGTATTTTTTTACAGTGCTTTTCTCTCTTTTATTCCTAGCTAAATACTTTGTTGCATGGGAATAGAAAGTTAGAGATATGAAGAAGCCAAAAAAAAAAAAAAAAGCTAGAGACAAAGGAAATGAACATGGGTAAGAAGGAGAAATGAAATGCTAAGGCTAAAGGGAAAAAGAAAAAGGCGACAAGAAAAAAAAAAAAAAAAAGAGAAAGAAAGAAAGGAAGAGAGGCAGTGGCAAGAGTTAAACATAAGCAACTAGAATGAAAGGAGTAAAAATTGAAGAAAAAAATGAGGCACATGAAAGAAGGTGAAGGTAAAAGAAAGAAGGTTTTTGTATTTCATTCCTTTTTTTATTCTTTGGGTTGTCACGAATTTGTGGTTCTCTTTGTTGCTTTGGGCTTAGCAAACAACTGGTGGTAACCATACTAAGGAAAACGAAAAGAGGCAGAAGTTTATCAAACATGAAAGGAAATGTTGAAAAAATAAATGAAAGGAGATTATTATTTTTTAAAATATTAATAGTTTTTGAAAATAAAAATTACAAAAAAATAATAATTTATGGGTAGTGTCAAATTAAAAAAAAGGTACAAAAAGTGATCCTTGAAGAAAGAAATATTCCACAAGCTTTGATTATTTAATAAATCAAACAACTTATTCATTTAAGTCAAATATCTTGACCGATCTAAATGCATCTTAAACAAATATTTCAATTTTGACTAAATCTTGATTTTTTTTGGGCTCAACAACTAAATCTTGATTTGATGAAATTATTGGCACACAATATAGATATATTGGGCCAATTATTTTGCTTATCTTAACAAGTAATTCAAAGGATGCTTGAACCCTAAAAAGCAAGGTCGAAATATTTATCTCCTAGCCCACACTATACTTGTTAGACTAGTTAGGGCCCAAAGTTCTAACCTCAAGGCAACGATTAGGTCCATTTTCACTTCTTAAGCTCAAAATAGACCAAGTTAGAATGCTAACGTTCTCTTAGGTATAGCTTAGAGATTTCAACCGGGTTATTGGATTAATTCCTACGTTAAGTCAAACTACATAACCCAAAATTACTTGTATGCAAACTTTTGGGCCAAAGTAGAATCTCAAAGACATAAGCCATGCCTATCTATCTTCTTTATTTTGTGCCTATTCTATTTGATTTAATACTTTAGTTGACCAAAAAATTATTCTTAGTTGTTGGAAAAGAATTCGTAGTTATATTTAATTATTTTTAAAAATTAATCCTTAATGTATGATTAAAATGAGGATATTGCAAATGATGCATATCAAATTAAAAGTAAGAGTTATTAGCAAAAAAAATTAAAAGAGTTAGAGGATTTAATGTGCTAGCTCAAATACGAGGAACGTTAAAAATATTAAAACAAGAAAAACAATGACAATCCAAACGATGATATGATTTACATGTTGTTGTTATTTCTAATAGAAAAGGTAATAAAATCCATTAAAAATAAATAAATTTAAAATAGTTTGATTATCTTCGATCCCGACATTGTGAGCTATACATGTATAGAGAACACATATCCTAGTACCTCATATTTTCCTTGCTAATATTTGTATTTAATGGCGTACTATTCTCTTATTTGAAAATATGAATTCTTTGCACTGAACTATTTAGTTTAATTATTAAAAGTTTGGAGAGGGAAAAAATGAAAAAAGTTTAAAAGGTAAAAGAAAAGAAGAAGAGTTAATACAAAATCTCTTAAATTAAAAGAATTTAAAAATATAAGATTAAAAGTGTTTGTAAATCCTCTTACCATTGTTTTAAAATTCTTAAACATGAGTAAACATCATTTATATTTTCTCTTTCACTTTTCTTAAAAAAAAAAAACCAACTTCTAAAACAAAGTCTACTGCTCTGCTGAAACTATTATTATTATTATTTGTTATAAGGGAATGGGGTTATAACGAAAGTAATACAACTATCCATCTAAAGCACGTTGCCTAGGATACGGTGTCTAAGTGCCTTTCCCTTTGACTTCTTTTAACTCATTTTCACTTTCTATTGGGCCAAATTGGGTTATGGAACTCGTCTATCCTATCAAAAGTTAGGTGTTTCATAGGAACTTGCCAAGTCCATATTCAAACACTTGGCTTTTTTTTACAATTTTTAAGAAAACAAAATTGGTGATGGAAATTTGTGACAATTTATTTTCTGTACCAATTTTGACTCCTTACAAAACAATATTTTAATTCTTTCAATGACTTTGATGTATAATTGTGGGATATGATTGTTATGATCGGTGAAGAGATTATCCCTTTATAAATATTATCCAAATAATTTGGGGCCCAAGTAAGAGAAATAACATAAAGATTTATAAACTTTTATTATTCTAAGAAGTATAAATGAGTTAAGTTATTTACGAATCGTTTAAACTTCT